CACCGCTTGCCGTGAGACGTGAGGATTTACGAATGTCTTACATGCCAGTCGGGTGGAAGAAAGTGAGGAAATGTTCGAGCTCCATGAAAGGCCAACAACACCGGCTAAACCCGCCATTCTGCGACTGCTATCTCCGTTTCTCTCCTCTGCTTTACACTACTCTTTTGAGCTTAACCCACCAACTCTCAGCGACTAAACTCTAACTAGAGAGGAAAAAGATAAGAAAATATTTGGGTTATTTTTGGATAAGCCCAAATCAAATTTGTTTATTTCTTCCAAGTCTATACCAACGATAGATCATAGTTTATAGATCCACTTCTCACCGCTAGGCGCTAGGGCTGAAGCCCATACGACCAGGTCCAATATAGAATCGAATCTACATTGCAAGGATTCCGTTGCAACGTATATAAATAAACTATCTGAATCGTGTGATCGGTCGACGGGGTTTTCTAGGGTTCTTCTCATGCTGGTGCTTTCAAAATTTCAATCGCACAGAAAAAATGGTGCTCGTTTTATGTGTGATCTTACGTTTTTATGGTTTTTCTCTATGTTTGGTTTTTGCGAAATTGTTCACCTTTTATTTTATTTTTCTCGTTTTCCAGGCACCGAAGAGAGGTGTGATGGCCACTGTCCCAGCAAAAAAGAAGACGGTGAAGATCTATTGCTTTGATCTGAGTGTATTTGTAGTTTTTACCTTTCTTTTTTTTACATTTGTTGATTAAGACGTGTTTATTCTTTTAATTTCAGGAAAAGGTTACTAACCCACTTTTTGAAAAGCGACCGAAGCAATTCGGTATTGGAGGTGCACTTCCACCCAAAAGGGATCTTCACAGGTTCGTCAGATGGCCCCAAGTTGTCCGCATACAGAGACAGAGAAGGGTACTTAAGCAGAGATTGAAGGTTCCTCCTGCTTTGAACTAGTTCACTCGTACACTTGACAAAAACCTAGGTGAACTTCAGTTCTATTATATTATACTTTTGTTATTTATACTTTGAAGTTAAATACGCCCAGGTTTTGCTAAGTGAAAAATCTTAATTTATTTGTAATATAACTAATAACTAGTTGTTGCTTATCTCTTGATGTTAATATTCTAATTTATTGCATGAGACTCAATTTGATTATTAGGCTAAAAATCAAAATTGATCAAATCAATGGTTACAAATCAATTGATGAGTGTTTTCGTCAACTTTTGTACTAATGCTTTCCTTAGTATTTCTCTTTTGCCTGATCTACTGATAATCGTGTTGACCATTTAGTTGGAAGAAGTATGCTAATGTTTTGCCAAGAATTCTTTAAATATGTATGAATTAGTACACCATAAAAAAATTACAACACAAAGATGTACTCTCTCTATTAGTTATCTAGAAGTAGCACATACTTTGATAGGCCGTCCCCTCCAATTAACGAATGTAGTGGATGTTTTTATAGATTTTATTTCTCCAAGTCTTATTTTTTAAGTTACACTTTTTGATCATTTAAAAAAAAATATTCCCATACTGTTTGAACAAGTTGTTAAGATATGTATTTGAAAGCTTAGATTAGTTTTCAATTGAGCTTAGAATCCAAATAATACTGTTTGTTTTTCTTTTTTAGTTTTTAGATTTTAATTCATCTCTAAATCTATGTCTGTTAAAGGTGTGTCTGTGTTGAACGGTTGAAGCTTGGATATTTTTCTTGTTGATATCAGTTAGAATTAGCCAATTAGGACATTGTTTGTATGGTGTAAAAGAAGCCAAAATAATCTGTATCCAAAATTCATATCCACTTTTAAAATGTTAGTAGTATGAAATGTGGCTTAATCAAGTAAAATAAAATATAGTATATATTCATTCAGTATGTGTTTAAACTTTAATTATTTGCTACACTCTATTGACCTCATTGATGATATCATCTTTAATGCAGCAACCACTCTTTTTAAGATGCTTCTTAAATATAGGCCTGAAGATAAAGCAGAAAAGAAGCAACGTCTTCTTAGCAGAGCTCAAGCTGAAGGCAAAATTGTTGAGATTAAGAAACCCATTGTTGTGAAGTATGGTTTGAACCATGTGACATACCTAATCGAGCAGGTTAGCAGCTCTGTGAAGTAAAAAATCGCTTATACATTATTAATTGATCGTTGATATTTTTTAATCTGAAATTTTCTTGTTTTGTTCAGAAAAAAGCTCAACTTGTCGTGATAGCTCATGATGTGGATCCAAAAGAGTTAGTTTTCTGGCTACCTGCTTTGTGTAGGAAGATGGAGATTCCTTACTGTATCATCAAAGGAAAATGAAGATTGGGAGCTGTGAGTCTTTAATACTCGTTTTTTTCAAGTTATCTGAAGACCCTAAGTGTTCTAATTGAACATTTTATCTTTATATTTTTTTATCCTGTCAGGTGGTTCACCAAAAAACATCTTCTGTGCTATGCCTAACCACAGTGAAGAAAGAAGACAAATTGGAATTCAGCAAAATCTTGGAAGCAATCAAGGTTTATAATTTATGTTGATTGTTAAACATGCTCATCTTCTTTGTGTTGTTTAATTATCATGTACCAATTGATTTAAACTCTTATTCAATTTTCAGGCAAACTTCAACGATAAATTCGATGAGGTAAGAAAGAAATGGGGTGGTGGAATCATGGGGTCCAAATCCCAAGCCAAAACCAAGGCCAAAGAGAGACTTATTGCAAAAGAAGCTGCACAGAGGATGAATTAGGAGATGCAGGAAAGCATTTTTATTCTTATTTTTAATTAAGCATTTATTTTTGTTTCAAAAAGCACACATCTTTCTTAACAATTTGAAAATGTCATTTGAATTTTTTTATCAAAGCACTTACTTTCCAATCACAGAGAGATGGTTAGTAAATTCAGCCATTCCTATCTCTTCCTGATATGTTTATTTCTTTTTCAGAATATTGTAGTGTAAATTGCAAAACAAAAAATCAAGTTCCAGAATTTTGATTTTAATTTTAATTTACAGAACATTGTTACAAGCGTAGTATGTGTACCAGACGTCTAGACTAATCTACCTTTATGGCTTCATCCCTGTGAATTTTCCTTAGAAGATGCTGTTTCTCCATTTCCTCCTCCACCTGAGTTTTCAACTCTTCCGGTAGCTATTTGCTGTTGGTAAAATTGACTGAGAGTTTGGGGATTCAAGATTCCAACGTGTCCATCTTGAGAAAGTCCAAGTTCCAATCCCGGCAAGTGATGTGCTACACCACCAAGCATTGACGAGAAGCTCATGGAAGGACCCAAATTAGGATTATTAACTCCTGGCAGTTCCAGTCCAACTCCTCCTCCTGCCGATGTTGCTGAGGAGATGTAACCTGGTCCAAATCCACCAACGGGTCCGATTGGCCAAAGCCCTGGAGCGCCGCCGCCAGCAGTAGCAGCCATCATGCTAGCACTCCAGTTATTATTACTTCTAACCGTGGATGACCCACTACCTAATCGATCTACCTTCCCGTGAATCCCGACAGAAACTGATGCGGCTCCTCCTTGTTGCGAAACCGACGCGGAGGAAGATATCATCGCTGACGCCGGAATAGTGCCGGTTCCAGTTGCTGCTATTATAGACGGCTCCGCTTGTTGCAGCAACCACTGAATAGTTTCCCCATCTGACTTGTTCCCAAGTTCGCGAGTGAGCTGGAAGATTCTGGCAGCGCAAAGTGCCGGCATACGGATTCTCCGTCCACGACCATCGACTTTGGTGTGTCGATCTTTATTTGAGCTTCTTTTCGGCGCAAGCTGTTTCTTTGCCGACAACCCACCTTCCCCTGCTCCTTCTCTGACTGGTACTATTTCTCCCGTCGGCGTACTTCCTCCTCCAGTAATCCTCGTCGTCGTCCTTCCCGCCGCCGACAACTCCTTTGGTTTGTGTTGTTGCTGCTGCTGTTGTAGACCCAGTGCTTGATGTAAGCTTGGTAGTTGTTGTGGATGCTTTGATGAAGTTTTTGGGTCCATTTTCGATTGTTTTGTCTTCCCCTTTTACTCTCTGTTCATCTTCTTCTGGTTTTTGACATAAAATCTGAGAGAAATAGTCCAAGAAGACGAAGAATAATAACTGAAGAAGAGGGAGAGGAGGGTGTTTTTCGTATTTTGAATATTATATTAACAATTTCGTAAAAAGTCCTCGTTTTAAAAAATAATAATAAAAAAATCTACACAGATAAAAACAGAAGACAACAGAACAGAATAAATAAAACTTTGTGATGTCTTTTCAATTCTCATCATCTGATTGCGATCTTATAGATGGATTCTCTATTTTTTCTTATTCATTAGCAATTTAGCATTAAGAAGAAGAAAAAATTGCAGTTTTACTTTGATTTAAAATTTAAATATTTTCTTATTTCGGATTACAGTTTGAACCTTAGACTTTTATAGATTCTGCTGAGAGTCTAAATGAGACATTTCACATCTAACCCTTCGTTAATATTTTTTTTTTAATCTTATTTAAAGTATCTCAGGTCGATATTTTTGATGTCAGCACGCAGTCGCCAGGAGCAGGCAGTAAACATACATAATAGATGAAAAGAATGTTGATACGAACATTATTTCTATTTGTTGTTTACGAATGCATTCGATCCTGAAATTGAATGTCGATAGACATTAATTATTGGAGTGATAAGAAAAGATAAGATATGTTTTGATTTTTTATAATGGAAGGTTTCTAATTTTTCTATCTTCACACGTCTTTTTCATTCTTTTCAAATTTGTCTTCCACTAATATGAATATGATGTTAACTGGTAATGGTATTTTTCAAAACTGTTTTTCTAATTAAACAATGAACATCGTCGCCGACAAGACAAGCTTGCTTTCCAATTTTCCCGCAAATTAGCTCGTTGTCTCTGGAAAATCTTGGGGTGATTTATTAAAAAAAAAAAAAGTTTTAGACTTGTATTTAAGTAAAAAAATGACACCGATATAATCATAATTTATAAAGACATATATATGACTATATGAGATACAGCCATGTCATTACAATCCAACGATATATGACCTTAATATGAAAAAATAGCAACAATTCAATGGCATTATGCAATAATTCAAAAAATTTAAATTGTTGGACAAACCCTAAATGAATTTTTAAAATACATTAATTCTGTTTATAAGCACACTAAATGCAAGCTCAGCATAACCAGATCCTAGAGTTTAAATGATAGCTTAATTTATTGTCCTGCAAAAATTAAAATGACTGCAGTTATTTAAGTTTTATAATTTTCAGCATTGATGTCACCCCAACGGACATTATACTTTGCAGCTAGATAATGGGCACCGACAGGCCCTCGACTTCCATAAGGATAGAGCTCAGGATGGATTTTTCTATCTTCAAGTTCTTTGAGTAGAGGGGTGAAGAGTTTCCAAGCTGCATCTAATTCATCAGAGCGGATGAAAAGCCGTCTTTCTCCTTCAATTGCGTCCAGAAGAAGCCTTTCATATGCATCTGGTATCTCTTTCGAATACCTAATCATAGAATTACATTTGTATCAATCCCGAATCCATAAATATTTATAATTTTATATTGCAAAAATTCAAAATTAAATAAATATAATCACTTGGCAGCATAATGAAGGTTAAGCTTGCTTCGATCCAGTCTCATTCCTAGACCAGGAACCTTGTTGTTTATCTTCAAATAAATAGCTTCGTCAGGTTGGACACGGATTACAAGCTCATTAGTAGCTCTATCAATATCAACACTGAAAGTGTTCTTATACAAGTTTCCTGGAACATGTCTGAACTGTACTCTGATTTCAGCCCTATCATTGAATACACAAACAAGATTTTAATCACAACATAAGAAGATAATATTTTAATCCAAGATGATTAAGCATTAATAATTGGATTTACCTTTTGGAGTGCAATGCTTTTCCCGCTTTCATCAGGAATGGCACACCATCCCACCTGGCGTTATCTATGAAGAGTGCTGCTGCAGCAAATGTCGGCGTAAGACTGCCTTTTGGAACTGTGTTGTCATCCGTATAAGCTGGGTAAGACACTCCACCTTTTACATGGCCCTTGTACTGCCCGACCACAACATTCTCGATTTCCAACGGCCTCATCGAACGGAGAACTTTAACCTAATAAAGCAAATTAATGATATAATTACATTTTAACTTAACAATTATGGGCGATTTTTGTTGTTTTATTTAAAATATTTGGAGAAACCTTTTCGTTCCTGATGTCCTCAGCATCAAGACTGACAGGTGTCTCCATGGCAAAGAGAGCAAGTATTTGAAGTAGATGATTCTGCATAATGTCTCTGATAATACCATAACTATCGAAATATCTGCCAATTAAATCAAAAGAGAGGGAATGTTAAGAAATTCAAAACATTAAGTGCGAGGAATATGTTTACTCACTCACCCTCCACGACCTTCTGTACCAAAATCCTCAGAGAAAATTAACTGGACGTTTCTTATGTATTGTCTTGACCATAGTGGTTCAAAAACAAGATTTGAGAATCGAAGAACTGAAAGGTTTTCTACTAATTCCTTCCCCAAATAATGATCAATTCTGCAACATTTTAATTAAATTAGTTTGAATTAACAAGGACAATCAGTGATGGATAGGAACAAAATGAATGAAGGGTTGAACCTGAAAATTTGATCTTCATCTAAGTATTGTTTAAAGCCTTTTGTCAAAGCAGATGAAGACTCCAAATCTCGACCAAAAGGCTTTTCAACAATAACCCTCGTCCAGCCACTTGTGGAAGACGCCGAAGTGCTTGCACATTTCACAACATCGATGAAAATATTGGGTGGGATTGAAAGGTAGAATAAACGATTTGATATTCGTCCAGCCTGTGGGGATATATTTTTTAGGGTTAAATAAAAAGAATTAAGAAAGGTGATTCATTATATTTCACAAAGTGTTATTGAAATTTTTCTTTAACGATCCCAAATTATGGATACCTCATGTTCCTTCAGCTTCTCGTCTAGTTTACTAAAGTTATCTTCAGAATCGTACTGCCCAGAATGATAAAAGCATCTTGATAGAAACTCCTTCATTTTCTGATCGCAATTCTCACTGGAGAGAGTCATTAAAGAAAGAAAGACATAAGCAAACATTTGAAAAATAAGAGTTTGGGATTATCAGTTAGTTTTAAAAGAACCTTTTGTCAATTCTACAGGTAAGTGTTTTCCCGACCATGATCCTCAATTCCGCATCAGTCATATTACTCCGAGCATATCCAAAAATAGTAAAATGCTAAAACGAATGAAGATAGTAAGAATAACCATCATCTAGAAATTTATATGGACGATCTGATTAAACTAATAAATCTAAAAATTCAGACCTTGGGAAAGCAATCTTCGTAATAAAGAGCAAACAATGCAGGGAATATCTTCTTCTTAGCAAGGTCCCCGGATGCTCCAACAACAGTGATAGTAACTGTAATTTCCTTATCTTCCCCAATCAACCCTAGATTTTCCCCATTATCCTTTGATGATAAAGACGAAGTAGTTGGTAATGCCCCGTTTACGGATCTCCCCATAAGTGAAGATTCCTTATCGAGCACTACTTCCTTTGCTCCACTTGAAGGCTTCACAGCTACAAAGAAAATGGACACAAATCAGGGCGAAATTAAGTATGGAAGATCGAAAGTGAAGGATTGAGCGAGAGAATGAACATACCCTCCATTTGCTTACAAACAAAAGTTGACCATTGGCATCTGCGTCGCTGATCCAAGGAAATCCCTCGCGTCTGGACACTTCCCGAGTATAAATTGCAAGGGAATAAAGAAGAAGAGGATGAGGAGGAAGACGGCGATGAAGAAAGTGAAGTGGAAAATCCAGGAGAGATGGAAAAGAGGCATCTGGATGCAGAAAACGCCATCAATTCCGACAATCCCTCGGAATTCGGATCGCACCGGGACAGAGAAGGTAAGATCTTGAAATCTTGATTGAAACAAAACCCAAAACCCCCCCAATTCGAACAATTCAAGATTCAACTCGTCGTCAAATACGAAGAAGGAACTATCATTATCGTTTTTCGCAAGGAAAGACAAAATGCCCCGCCACTGTCTTGTACTCTCAACCGTGCGATGCTTTTATGTATGCGCTAATTGGACGGTGACGATTGCAACACTCAGGAGCCAAGATCCGATACCTACTTAAAGAGGTAATACTGAAGAGGCGTTTCTTCGAATATCCAAACATCACTATATTAGTGTGGATGGGTTGAACCCGTCTCAGTGTAACGGCAAGTTTAAACCCACCAGGGTTTTTGCATGTGAGGAATATTTCCGGAATCTTAGAATGGGCTATTACTAGATCCGGCCCATGAAATTAGAATCCAATCCTTTCAAGTTTCAATTATAATGTCTATAATGATTAATGACGATTGATTAACGATTAACAATGTGTTTAGTTACATGCGATAATGACTCAACTATTTTAATTTAATTACGTAATTACTTCCATTCTTCTTTGAATTGGTTGTTCATCATAGCAATGAAATTCTCGGCTCTCTTATTCAACTCATCTGGATCCTCTTCCTCTCCATCGCCGTCGAAACTAATTCCTTCTTCTTTGTCAGCTTCAGCTTCAGTATCTGCATCTTCTTCTTCTTCTTCCTCCGATTCCTGATCCGATTCCCTGTTCACCTCCTCCGTCTCCTTCAAGGTGTACAGCTTCTTTGGTCTTATAATTTCCGACCTCTTATTCTTCCTAGCATACTCCTCGTAGATATCAGTCATCGGAACACCTCCACCACCGAGACGCTTGGAGTCTCCGACAAGAACTATGACGATGATGTTACACAGCACGAACAAACACTTGGTGCTCACAATGAAAGATTTGATCATGCTGGGAATGGATCCGAAGACGAAATGGATTACCCACGAGTTGAATAGTTTGGGTAACCACAGTGGGCAAGAGAGGAACGCGCCAAAGAAGAAGATGGAGAGAGCGCATTTCAGGAAACTATGAACAAAACTCTTCTTGGATGATCTATACCTCTTCATAGCATGGAGCTTCTCTATCATCACTGGATCCATATCAATATGATTCTCTATGATCGGAGTTGTTAATATATTAATATAATTAGGGTTTTAGTTTTGTGTAGAAGAGAAGATGGAACAAGAAAGTTGAAGAAGAAAGAAGAAAACCAAAGAACATGGTGAAAACTGAAAAGGGTGAAAATGAAGACATAGAGACGGTCGGGTTTTATAGTGGGAGGAAGATATATGTCAGTGGAATTCTAATTTGAGATCGATGAAGCAGCCACTGACTAGTTAGCTTTAACTTTGCTTTTTTATCATTATTATTATTATTGGTAGATTTGTAATGCGATCTATGGATTGATGTGTCTGGTTTCTGATATTTGATGGTTTAGGGTTAATTAGTTAATTAAAGCCAAATCTACTTTCATTTTCATCTTTCGAGAAACTAAAGTCTTGGCTTCTCTTCTGCCTGCATTAAAGCTAGTTTATGTTATTATTAGTTGCCCTACAGCTACATGTTGTGTTCTTTAATTTTAATAATTCATTATTTAAAGTTTAAATTAAGCCCACGTACATGAGTAATAAGACATTATGATTGATTGATGAGTTCAGAAGTGATTAAGAGTTAATGAGATGAGTTGAGTTAATCTGGAATTAAGAAGTGGATAAGAATAATACACAACAAGAATTGCCAGTTCAACCAATAATCCACTATAAAGTATGGTCAGTGTCATCATGTTATTAATATTCTCTCCAATGTTACTATTGCTCTTAGGAATCAAATTAAGAATCGATACCTTTGGAGAACAACGGAAACGCAAGGAGACATCAAACATAGTCTTAAGGGCTAAGGAAACTAGCTAGATGGGTTCCACACTTCAATTCCTACATCAATGATCATTTAATTAAACGGCTTCAATTGGACGGATTGATCTGTAGATATATATGGATATATACGACAACAGGAACTATTAGTGACTATATAATTGGCCTGGCGGCTCTAATTCCCGCGTTCGGTGCCGTTCTCGCACGACGCACATTCGATACGCTTTACGGATTATCAAAAATAGTCACGATTATATCCATAGCTAAATTAAAAGGCAGTACGTGACTACTGTTCAACCACTTAAATTAATTGGTCTCATGAACTATTAAGGTTTCTGAGGTCCAAGGTTCAAATCTTACTTTGTATATTTCCATTTAAATTTACCTGATTATATATTATGTGACTCTGGTATATCATCCGAAGGTTGACAACTCCACATTTGTAGAGAGGTACCCTCCGTTATCAAAAAAAAATATTCAACCACGAAAAATCGATTATTTGGCTAAAAAACAGTAGCCATCAGACCTATATATGTGGTTAAACCAATTTAGCCACGGATTTTATCAAAAGGTCACTGAACTTGGTTGTGAGCGGAAATCTGTTTTCTTTTAGTGAAATTAAAATGTCGATAATATAGATATGTGATATTGTCATGTGACTCATGTAAACTGGTTTGGATTAAATTGCTGCTCAAACAAACAAGAAATACTAGTTTCACCTAACTTTTAATTTTTATATTGTCAAGAACAAAAAAGTAACATACAAAAAAAAGTTAACATTCATCATCATCACTAAACTACCTCAGTTGTTTCTATCTTCACATTTAACGGTTTACTACTTGAAGTAACTCCGGAGGAGTAGAAGCGGGATCGAGTTCATAATAACCCTTGGGTGCATTATGAGCTTCTTCACCACTAAGAACGTAGGAAGGGACTCTGTGTGAAAATCGAAACATCTCTTCTCTTGGTATTGTTTTCGGAACTTTACCATCACTATTGTGTTCTTGCAGGCGAAAAACTGTTTTGAAACCATCAACCTTCACCAATGAACAAACAATTATTCTACCTTGCTCTTCGTTGTAATCATCAACAACTTCAACCATGTCATATCTGTAAACCACATCATCTTCAGTGTATTCGTCCCAATCAGAAGACCAGTTTCTGTAAAGAGCCCAAATCTCACCTTTTTTAGGAAAGATTGTCAAACTCCCACGTACGGTTTCGTTATCTAAATTCAATCTATGAGAGAATATGTTTATCTTATCGACTGTAGTATGACCGCCCACCTTAAAATTTCCACAACTTTTGGGAAATTTCCAATCTAATGATTCGTTGAATTCACTGTTGCCTTTTGAGTTCAAATAATTGATGCGAATTTGAAATGGTTTTATTGACAAAATTTTTAAAATTTTAACATAATAGCGAGGCATTCCATCTTCTTCGTCATATATGGCCCAAACTTGGTTACGTTCAAAGTCTTTTTCAGTGCGATCATTGTCAAAATCGTGAAAATCTGCATCAGGTACAACAAATAACTTTGGATCCTTAACATTCTTATTAGTAGTACGGTCGCAATGACAAGGAGGTGATGAAGAGACACCTAACCATGGTACTTGTAATGTTGGATCAACAGAATTGATATTCTTTATAGGCACATGTATTCCAATCTTATCTTCTTTATTAACACAATCATCAATATCACTACTACTTTGCTTTTGTTTCAAACGCTCTAATTCCTTTATGATGATTAATTTGCCATTTTCAATCAGCATGCTCTGAAAATTGGTATGACACAACTCTTTGGTGGTAATTATGCTTCTGATTTTTTCATGTATAATACCAATACTTTCCAATTCTACATCAGAGGTGGAAGGTGTAGTGATACCTGAAACATACTTGATTTCGTGATCAATACTTGCATATTTCCCCTTTGAACCAACATTACTTTTACGTTCCTCAACATTGGGAACTGCAGCATATTTGCTTTCATCAACATTTGTATGTTTTCCCTCTGAACCAACATTACTTTTAAATTCTCCAATATCTTTTCTAATTTTCCTTGTATGTTTTTCCTTTGCATCAATGCAGTTGCTATCTTTAACATATTTTTTCTTCTGTTTTGCTGCCTGATCCTTCTTGGTTGTAAAAAAATGCCCTCCCACAATATCATCTTTTCCATCTGTCGTCGTCTTCCTCTTCTTGCATTTCTTTTCAGTCTGATCATTCAATGTTGGGGGTTCACAATTTGCAGCCATAAATGTTTGTCTACATTTTGGGCAAGTGAGAATTTTCTCTAAGTAACACAACCTATACTCATATTTCATATTGCAATGGCTGCATAGAGTCCAAAATGAAAAGGATGTTGTTGTAGAATGAGAAGTAGGCGCAGCTGGTGTAGTAGAGGACTTGCTAGACCTTTTGTTAGAAGCTGCATTGCGCTTATGATCATAATCCAACCTTTTATTTCTATCAAGCAACACATCTTTAGCCTCAGATATAAGTTTAAAAGCACCTTCAGCACCACAAAAGTGATTCTTGTCTGGATGAATTAAGCGAGCCATATCCTTGAATTGTTTCTTAACCATTGCCTCATCTGCCGAAGCATCCACGCCAATGATACCATAATAATCTTTCTCTGTATTTATCAAGGTTCTCGCTGTGGTATAAATATTGAAAGTGGATATCAGTTGATCGATACCTTCAAGATTTGGGTAAATATTCTTAGCCTTAAGAGCGAATTTTACCGCACCATCCAAGTCATTGGCCTCGAACTTATTCTCAGCGATTTCTCTTGCTCTGATAGCTTCATCCCTATTGCACTCCATCAACTATATATGCGAAATAATATTTTCACCGACAAAACCTAGCAAAAATATGAAGACGAATGGGGAGATCAAATTAAGAACAAGAAATATGTAACTATTTATCTAAGATGAACGTACTTATATACTCCATAAACGGAATAAGATAACAAAGATTTTGAACTCCCTCACCCAAAAATAAAGGAAAAATCGAAAACAGACACCTCTCCAAAAAATAATGATCGAGAATGATTGGTTGGTTTTGTTGTTTAAATTGGGAACAATATACGTGTATCGAATTTGAATCGATGAATATTTAGATATTTTAAAATAACCATTACTTTTGGAGAGAGCTTTAACCTAATCCTCTTCCTGCTCTGCTCGTGTTCTTCCTATTTCCTGAATTCTTGGTCACCTGAAAAATCTTAAAATAAATGATGGGTCGTGGGAGACGGAGTTGAAACTAAAAATAAAGAA